AGGGAAAAAAAAAAAAAAAAAAAAGGAAGAGAAAAATTATTAATATATTTGAATTTTAAAAAAATTAAAAAAGTACTATTTCACTTAAAAAATTAAAAAAAATACTTTTATATGAAAATTTTTAATATTATCTATACAACATTTTAAAGTTATTAACGTAATCTTGAACGGTATATAGTTGTCAAATAGAAAAATCATGTTCAAGTTATAAATTAAATGGTCTAGTACATGAATAAGGTTTGATTGATGTCTTATACTAGTAATATTAGTGATACGGTTCACTTGTAATTGTTATAAATGATTTGATTAAATCGTTTATATGAAGACATGTGTGAGTAAGGGTATCCTATGCAATGAATTTGTATAAAATTGAACCACAAAATATTTAATCTCTTCTTATAAATCCATTAATTGAGAAGATTAATATTTCCTAAGATGATCATATTTGATTTGATTTTAATCTTAAATGAGTTATGAATTCCTGCTCGGAAGCGCTTGTCATTTGATTTGCATGGGGGATAATAGCTTTGGTAGTCGATTCAATATGCATAGGGCTAGAGGGTTGTGTGTTCATAAGCATAGGGTCACTTCCTCTAGAGCTGATGAGTGCGGATGCGCACCGTACGATGATGTGTGCGAATGCACACAAATGAGGGTGTTCATGAGGCGCATGACACTACGGGGTTCCACTGACCTCCAGACGTCGTTACAAATTAGCTTGACCAGAGGGTCCAGGGGGCGTGCGAGCGCCCCGGGGATTCACACTCGCACGTGTGAGTCGTGTGTAGGGAAGTACTACACATCCAGTTTGTCCGAGAGTGGAGGCCTCCCTTATGATGTTTAGAAATAGGTCCCTAAATCATGGATGAGCATGAGATATAAGTGGCAACTCTAGATATGTGGAAATTTAGGATCGTTATAGTATTTATAACGTGTAACGGCCCAGGCCCACCGCGCAGGCTTCCCCTCAAGGCTTTAAAACGCGGATAAGGGTGTTTCGTTCTCAAGGCTTTAAAACGCCTCTACTAGGGAGAGGTTTCCACACCCTTATAAAGGGTGTTTCGTTCTCCTCCCCCCTTCAGGGCCCAGCATCCTTGGGAGGACTCGTTCCTTTCTCCAATCGATGTGGGACCCCCGCCAAATCTACCCTCCTTTGGGTCACAGCGTCTGGCACACCGCCTCATGTCTACCCCTCCTTGGGAAACAACCTCCTCGTTGGCACATCGCCCGGTGTCTAGCTCTGATACCATTTGTAATGGCCCAGATCCACCGCTAGCAGATATTGTTCTCTTGGGCTTTCCCACAAGGCTTTAAAACGTGTCTACTAGTGAAAGGTTTCCACACCCTTATAAACGGTGTTTGTTCTGGGACATCACACATTTAATACAACCCCGCTTGCATCTTCCTTCATATCATATCATTTATCTTATCTTGCATGCATATGTCGGGATTGTATTTCATGCTAGTTCATCGTTTTGCATGTCAATCATATCATTCATGTCACACATATATCATAACATGTCAATCATATCATTCATGTCACACATATATTATATCATAACATTTCCATGATTTCAAATATACCCTATGCACATATCATAACTTTTCCATATTTCCAACATATCAATTCTCACTGTGTACATATCATACCGTATCATATATCACAACAGTTATATAATATAACCTGTGTATGCCTTCCACATATCACACCATAACATATCGTATCATAATATATCATAACAACTTATCACATATATCGTACCATAACATATATCATACATATTACAACATATATATATCCGTCGTTCACTTTTCATATCATAATCATATCCTTGTGTAAACACTTCATAGTCATATCGTTTCCTAAACTTGTCATAGCCTCATCGTCCTTATACACCTCATAGTTGTATCATTTCATGAACATACCTTAGTCATATATTTTCCTAAATGTATCCTAATCATATCGTTTTATCCATATATCATAATCATATCGTTTTCTATACATAGCATAACCATATCGTTTTGTCAATCTATTATATCCATATCGTTTTCCATACATAACCTAACCAAATCGTTTCATGAACATATCTTAGTCATATCGTTACATTACGTTTATCGCATCCTTCTTGTATCCTATTTCAAACGTATCATTGAACACATTATACTGTAAGAGTTATCATACCATTCACATATCAACATATACATATCCTATCATATCATAGTCATATCGATTCATAAACAATTTACACATATCAAATAAATGACAGATGCAAAACTACGGGACACGTTTCAACACACATCAAATATAACCATGCTAATAGTAAGGTCACCTACCTGAGCTTAGGCTGGTGTCACCAATTTATTTGTAATGAAAGTTTGATTATATATATATATATTATTAAGATCTCATTTTCTAATATTACTGTTATAGGGAAGATATTATTTTTGTTATATGAAAGATTTTGATGCACGTTACAATAAACAAAGCGACGTCGATCTGACCTTGTGAGGGCCAAGACAGCTGAGTGTCATAATGCGACTGAGGAGGACGGTGCCTCAACCAACACTCTATATTATGTGTGCATTGAAGAGAGGTGAGACATATGAAAGATAGGGAGAGCGAGTAGACATCAGTGTTAGAGATAGGCTTGTTGAAGGGTCGGGTAGGGCCTAGGTCTTAACCTCAAAATTTGAGGTTCCAGAGAAAATTTTGGTATGTGGTTCTGGAGTCAAGTCTGTCCATTCGAAATACGAAAGCTCGCAAAATGTGAAGTCAATTGGACACTGGACGACACTCCGCGACAACATATGACCATTTATCAAAATGACGTCTACCTAAGAAAGACGGAAAACGACTCAAAATGTACTATAAAAACCATGGTGCTAGCTCTCCACCACCCCTAGGCCTTATAGGCTAAGCAAGCTACCATGTGGCATATATGTGTGTCATAGTGAGAGTGAGAGTTGTGAGACGAGTGTCTTGAGTGGTTTCTTTTGAAATGAGTATTTCAAGAACAATGTCGAACGACGCGAGTCTGTCAACATTGGGCTCCAGTCCATGTGTCAAAGGTTGAATCATGCACTCATTATTCTGTAAGGAATTCATAAATGATATTACATGGACACGAGAGGGCCCAACGTCTTGATAGAATTTGGATGGATGGATTTTCAAGATGTCTACATTGATATTATGAAGACGTGGGCCCAATATCAATAGCATGACTAAGTGAGCAGTGATGGCGTCAAGACATATGGGTCATACTAATTGGGAGCCTAGATGATATTGGGATGCAACTTTGTGTTGAGAGACCTTGGCCCTGAGTAGAAGCAAGGTTGAGGCGCATGGCTTGGCCTAATGTAGAGGCAAGTTAGTTTGGTCGCAAATGATTGAAAATGCACGGGAAGGCACCGTGTGTGGCCGAATAATTTTGGATTCCACACAAGTTGTATATGGCAGGCAAAAACAAACCTCTCCTAAGGTTGGACAAAGTCACAAAACTAGGCGAAAAATGAATATGGGGCTTGGATTCTCCTCAAGCCTAGTCATAAGCGTGTCAAGATCACGATGTCACACGTTTAAAAATATACTACCGTGACACCCCCACCTCACCTTGTAGATATCTCTACCTATGGCTCAACTTTCTTTTTTTTGTGTGATCACTCTGTTTAGTTTATTAACCATATTAAACCTCCCATGCCACAAATACTATTAGGAGGTTCAAGAAAATTGTTCCACCAACAAAAGATGAACCACAAATAATATTATGAGCATAAAAACGTTTGAGTTCAGCATGATAGAGCAAAACATTACAAACGTGAGAGTAAAGGCATATTCACCAAAGATTTAGCATCTATTTGAAGGAGTTTCCAATGTCAATCACGAACCGATATCGAACATCGGCTTTCTCAAGGCGTTCGATGGCGGTGTTAATATCGTCCATACGAATCAGCTCAATCTCCGCTGTGATGTTATGTTTACCACAGAAATCCAACATCTCTTGTGTCTCTTTCAGCCCTCCAAAGTTGCTTCCACCAACCATCTTCCTACCGAATACTATCGAAGCAACTGGCAGTTCTAGTGGATTGTTAGGTAACCCCACAGTCACCAATTTTCCATTCAGCTTTAGCAGACCAAGCAATGGAGCAAGAGCATGGATAGCTGATACCGTGTCAATAATGTAATCCATCGTCCCCATCGCAGCCTGCACACAATCAACAACCATTATAAAGTTTTAAAACGCGCCTACTAAAACGCGTCTACTAAGGAGAGCTTTCCACACGCTTATAAAGTGTGTTTCGTTCTCCTCTCCAACTGATGTGGGATCTCACAATCCACCCCCTTCAGGGTCCAATGTCCTCCTAGCTAGCACTCGTTCTTTTCTCCAATCGATGTGGGACCCCACCAAATCCACTCCCTTCGGGACCTAACGTTCTTACTGGCAGACCACCTCGTGTCTACCCCCTTCAAGGAACAATGCTCGTGTCTACCCCCTTTGGGAAACAATGCTCGTGTCTACCCCCTTTGGGAAACAACGCTCGTGTCTACCCCCTTCAGGGAACAGCCTCCTTGCTAGCTCATCACTTGATGTCTAGCTCTGATACCATTTGTAATGACTCAAGCCTACTTCTAGCAGTATTGTTTTCT